GGAGAGAGGAGGCTACTCTTGTCCATATGTTTTGGTCATGTCCCAGTTTGGAGAAATACTGGAGGGAAGTCTTCCAAACTCTATCCCTAATGGTTGGAGCAGACATAGAACCCGACCCTCTGATTGCACTTTTCGGTACTACAGGTGATAATGTTGAGCACCTGTCCCCAGGAAAACGCCGAATTCTGTCTTTTGCCTCGCTTTTGGCCAGGCGTGCAATATTGCTGAGGTGGGTAGATGCTGCTCCGCCCACCCATACCCAATGGTTGCGAGATATCATGGCCTGTTTAGCATTGGAAAAAATATACTACTCAGCTCGCAAATCAAAAGAGAGGTTTTTAATGGTGTGGGGACCTTTTATGGAGCACTTTCATAACTCCCAAACAAGTTAGGGAGAGGATTTTATATCTCCTCGGGCCATCTTTGATTGGCTAGCGTATGGGCTCATAGTCTACATGTATGGTTGCTCTTCTATCTTGTTTTGCCCCTCTTTCCGCTCAGGTCGAGACCTGACTTCCGGCTGTTTTACATCTTACTCCAGGAATGAATACTAATTGGGCTAATTGACCTGCTGGGTTCTTTGGGTTCTTTCCTTCGGGCAATGTTCGCATTTCTCTTTTCACTGTACCCAGACAGGTTTACTCTTCCTGAACAGAATAGACCTCTTGTCAATGTTAGATGCCCGTCGTTCACATTTTGGTATCTGTTTCTTTGTTCAAAAAGTTAATAAAAATATTTCTGAGAAAAAAACTGAATCCGTGAACATAATCGTGGACATGTTGTACTCACAATGCAGCTGAGTCCAAATCATGTCGTAAAGGTGTGAGATGATCTCACTCAGCTGCATTGTGAGTACAACATGCCCACGATTATGTTCACGCACATCAGTACTCAGTTCACTGTTTTGAAAGCAACACTCACAGGCTTTGTGTTTCCAACACGTGTGTAATACATCACGTTAACAATCTAGTCTCTACTAGCAAGACATGGCAGATGTCTAAACAAGTACTGGGGCCTCATTCTGCCATTTTTGTTCAGTTTAGTGTAAATAAGTAAAGCTGTTTAATAAAGGGTCAAGTTCATGGCAGTTTACTGGGATCTCTGTCTTAAAAAGGTATCTGACTTTTCATCCTGTGCCATCATCTGGCCAACACTATTTGTGCAGTGCTTTGGTTGATGACCAGATACCCACACATTCCCGACAGCCACAGCTGGACTTTGTATTTAGTCCTAATAAGCCTCATCAGCAAAGGCCCCCCCCCCCCCAGGACCTGGGATTAGATCTGACTCAGATCAGCCAGCAGAGTCTTTTCTGAGGACATCACGTGGTTAGGAGAGAGCAATTCTGAAATAAAATCTGGGGCCTGAGGCACCTTTGGAGTAGGTAGTAAAGTCTTAAAATCCAAACAGAACAGATCCGAATGGAGTGTATAACAAAGCCTGCATCTGTAAAACTTGAAACTAGTTTTTTAAATATTTTTAACTGATAAAAACAGGAATCGATGATCATCCTGACCTGAAACTGAGGCTGGAGGTTTTTACCATAAGCCTGATGTTGTGAGACTAAAGACGGTTTTATATAAATATTCCTCACAGCAGTCCCTCACCTCGGATAGATAAATTAGTTATACATGAATAATGACACAAAATAATATTCACAAGTTCCTCAAAGTTTAACAGCGCTTGAGTGTAAATTGTTGCACATAGAAATCATGGTCGCACACATACAGACAGATGTTTACAGATGTGTCAAGATGCAGGTTCCGAGATCAGTGAATATGTGTTCTCAAAAATATATCAGTGTGTTTTCAACACCATGGCGAGCTACGCTGTTGTCACATGTGCCACGGTGTCATTGATGAACAGGAAAGAGGCAGTCAGGCCTCTTCCTGTTTGCCAGCTGACCTTTGACCACTGGGCACTGTACTTCTTCCTCTTCTGTCCTTTATACCGCTCCCACACTCACCCTGTGATGACAGTAAAAAGTGGATGAAACATCTCTGGTTTACAGAAAAGGAAGCAAAAATGTTTTTTCCTGACTCAGCAGCTGCTTTATGCTTATTAAAAGAGAAGTTTAATGTGTTATCTCTGAGTAAAATGGCTGCGTAACAAACTCCTCATCTGTTCACCACTGTGTGACTGGTGCACCAGCGGTTGCCTGCAGCTTCTTAACTGTGAGCTTGTGTATAAATGCAGAAATCATGTTTTTTTGACAGGGCTGGGTTTGTCACGCCAAGCTGGGCTGAGGTCAGCCGCCGTCCTCAGATGGGTTTGTCTAGTTCAGGGTCTTCACAAAAAATCCAGGATGTCCACTCACGCATCCTGTCGTCTTATCGAGCTGATACCCAAATTATTTCATGTCATCATTTTTGCTCTCAACAAAAAGTTTTTCAAGAGGGCAAGGGACAGTTAGGATTACATACAAGTGCTTCCAGCATCTTTCAGCATCCCAGTACATCCTATCTTTATAACACACACAGCACCCTGCTCTCTGCACTCCAGTTCAATCAGCAGATTGGTTTTGTAACTAAACTCCACCAGAGCGGGTTGTCTCCTAACTCATGAAGTGTCCTTGAGTGAAACACTGATCCCTCAGTTACTCCTAGTCGTGTGAAAGTGCTTTGAGTGTGCGGCAGTGCATAGAAAAGTGCTATAGAAGCATAAGACCATTTACCACTATGTACAGCATTACCGTTCATGAAGATTTACCAGTGCTGATATAACCATGTGCACGTGTGGATGTTTGTGTGCAGGAAAGGAAACAAGACATCAGGTGGCTGTCTCTGTCTCTCCTCTGATTGGCAGATGAGATTTGAGGTCACACCTCCAGGAGGTCATGTGTTGTCTATGGCCTTTTGCTGTAGGTTGTTTCTGTTCACTGTCATAGTTAGGGTTAGGGTGTGTGTGTGGCCTGCATGCAAATTGAATTTTCTCTGTGATAATGACAAAAGTTGAAGATTTCACTGTAATTTAAATGTTTTCTTTCTGTTCTGTGTGAGTGCCCTCAACTGTCTGAAATGTGCCAGCACCCTGGTTTTCAAAGCAGAAGTTTTGTAGACGTCTAGTGCAAGAAGTGAACTTGTGCCTTTTGAATAATTGATCTAAAATATTTCTTTGTGTCTCTGCAGTGGAGGGCAGACAGGCGGCATGACAGAGGAGAAATGTCCCCAGCTGGTGGACTACTTTGTAGTGGCAGGTCTCGACCCTGCTGGGCCCTGGAGGCCCCTGGATGAGGACGGCAAGACCTCTTTCTCCTCTACGTCCTCCAGCTCTCCCTCGGGCCGGGCGGTGGAGCTGGTGACGGACCTGGCGGTGATCGCCCGAGGGCTGGGAGAGGAAGTGCCAGAGGGCTTCACCTGCATCGAGAGGACGCTGGGCGGACACTCGGCCGAGCTGAGCGCTGGCCTCATCAACAACCCACACCTGTACCTGTGCTACCGCCGAGGACGAGACAAACCACCCGTACTGGACGTGGGGTGAGATGTGCTCTGGGTTTTTATAATTTTATTTTTATTCAGAAAAGGCCATTTTATAAAATACAGAATATACCAGACTACTTCTTTCAAAAGTGGAAAAGAACAAAAGAAAACTTTTTATAGTTTATATCTTCTTATGTACCTTTTTGTGCACATCAACACTTATACATACATTGGTTTTTCTGCCGGTATTTACCTATTTACCCTTGGATACTTGTAGGGCTGTACCTGACTAAGAATTTAGTCAGTTGACTTAGATTTGACTGTTAATGGCAAATATTCAGCTATTTGTGTTTACACACTACATTCTCTGACTGGCTTTATTTTTAGGGGTGTAACTACTGGTTAGGGACCACTGCAGTGAAGAGCGAGCTCAGCCGGGAAGCAAAGCTCTCAGTTCATCAGTTAGTCCATATTCTTCTACTCACCAACTGTCACAAGCTTTGAGTGCCGACCAAGAGAGTAGGATCAGGAATACAAACAGCTGACATGAGTTTCCTCTGTAGAGAGGCTGGACTCAGCCTTAGAGAGAGGATGCTGAGTTCTGCTTCATGTTGAAAGGAGCCAGTTGAGGTTGTTCGGGCATCTGGTCAGGATGCCGCCTGAGGCACCTCCACCTGGTAGGAGGCCCTGGGGTAGAACCGGAACATGCTGGAGGGATTATATATTTCTTCTAGCTTGGAAAAGGCCCAGGGTCTCCCGGGAGGACGTTGCTGGAGAGGAGGGGGATGTTGCTGGGGAGGAGAACATCTGACAAGCTGGTTACAGCTACTGGAAGTGTAGACTAAACTTAAAGATATCAGAGCTCCACTAACCGACGGTCACTGACGTCATGGCTTTTGCTCATGTTGCTCTGGTGATGTAAAGGTCCTGCCCCTCACTTGCTGCCTGCAGAGTCTTGTTTGGCTGGAGATATCAGCGCTGTGTGCTCTGGGAGATTAAGTATGTTAGTGATGGAAAAAGGGGATTTTTTCCCATGTTAACAGTGAAGACAGTTGTTGCTTTGTGAGTGGAGTTTTTCCCGGGGGCCTCCTCTGTTCCTTCTACAGCTCTGAGTGTAGGGTTGTTGTCCTGCATGTTACGCTGTAAATGATTCTGCTCTGTTATTTGGAATGAATCCAAATTATCACTGAGACTCCACCACTCCCATATAGGGTTTTAGCTCATGTGATGCATATTGGAGCTTAATCTTATATAATTCAGAGGATTATGTAACATAGTGGTGAGCGGGTGGAGTCGTGTCCTGGACTTTCAGCAGCTTCCCACATACTCTTCTTTGTTATTCCTGATATGTTGAATTATTTATTTGCACCAAATCACAGGGTAATGAAATAAATCCTCTTACGTTAGACATTAGAATACATTTTTCTCCTTTTATGGGGTGTAGCTGACAGACAGCGAGCAGGCAGGGAACCAGTTAGTTCGCTCAAGAGTCCTATGGCAGGACTAATATTTTAATGAAAGGATTAAATCAGACAACAGGAAAGTAAGGTTTCAGCAGAGGAGATGTTTTCAAACTGTGAAAACTTGAGATGCATTTGGAGCAGCAGCGGTGATCCTGACTCACAGCTGGTGGAGCAGGTTATGCTTCTGTAAATCCCTTTGTGCCTAATTAACACAATATCTGTCAAAAATCTTCTTCTTGACGTCATAACTCAGTCAAATAAACAGACATGATGCACAATTTTTAGACTCATCATGCATTTCCTGCATCTCAGGTGTCTATTGTGAATAGATGTCCAGAGATGAGCTTAGAAATGATTAAAAAAAGGTGCTCTGTGTATCACTGCAGAACCTGCCTGAGAATCCTTATGTTCTGAAGTTTTCTTTAGTATCACATTAATCCAGTGATTGATAGTTGTCTGTACATCCATGGCTGCACTGCAAACAGGACCTGCTAGCAGCTGATTCAGCTGCTTGTAGTGGAGCCAATTTGGCAAAACATTCTTATATGCTGCTTTTCCTATTGATGTACATTCTGTTGTTGTCAGGTTGGATCATGACTGATCAGGGCTGAGTGCATTAAAGCAGCTGCGTGATGTGCAGAAACACTGAACAGATCAGTACTGACACCGACACCTGAGTGGGCAGGACTGTGGTGTGTGTGTCTTTGTTGCTGAAGTGGTTCTTTTCTTTTTCTGCTTATCACAGCTCTGTTGTGTTTAATGATGAGGGAGAACTCATTTTTTAAACTGCCAAACAAATTAAAATAAAACCCAAATATCAGTGTTGAGATGTATTTCTCAAACTACAATTGACCAAGAGATGTTCAGTGAATATGGCTGACCACAAAGTCTACAGGAAACAGCCACTGAAATGGATTTGTGCATATTTTAACACAGGACTGATGAGCACAGTGCAAAGTGGAGCACATTAATTTACTTCACACACGTGTGCCAGGTTTCAAGACTGTCTGTGGATCATGGATTACAGTCGATCACAGACAAGAGAATCGGGGAGAGTTCAGAGTCTGTTCCAGTCAGCAGTTGTCACCTTCAGAGATGTGCAACCACACACACAAGGTCAACTTTAAGCACAGGGAAAAGACTTAAAAGCAGCATCTCTGCTGCAGCCTCCAGGTTCCAGGATCCTCAAAATAACACATCTGAAGTTCTTACCACACGTTCAGTGGTCAAGCTGCATTGTGGGCAATGTAGGCAACAATGCAGACGAATGTGTGAAATAAAAAAGATGATATCTCTGTTTCTGCTGCATCTGCTTTGATCCTTTGTCCATCTGAGTCTGGCGGTGTTGGGGGAGTGTGATGATGGATTAGTGGAGTACTCTGACAGATACAGTCTAATGTTTATTGTGCTTGTGAGCACACTAAGAATCACTTTGACGCCATATTATGTTTTGTTGAAATATAAAACAGTAAGGATAATGAGCCACAGGAAAACATGTTTGCCTATGTATTATGTAAACTGCCCACCTGTGTATAAATTGATTGTACCATATAGTTTGTACTCCATACCATATTCTCGTGGCCTCTAGTCAGTATATCAGAGTCAGATTCTGAAAAGCTGTGATGACCTGCATAAAATCTGATGGGCAGTATGTCAGAGGGGCAAGTTTCTGATGTTGTGATCTGTCCCTGCAGGGTTATGTATGAGGGGAAGGAGCAACTGAAACAGGGCTGGTACGTCATCGAGACAACTCCGTACAGCCGCTCGGCCAGCCTGAGCTCCAGTGGCGGCCCGACGGCTCACCGGGTGTTCCTGACGTACCGTCGTGCTCTGGACTCTCAGGCTCTCAACACGCTGGGCATCACAGACATCGCCCTGCTGCTCCCCAGCAAGGGAGAGGTCGCACCGCACACTTTTTGCCGTGTCGACAAGAACCTCAACACTGGCATGGTGAGGGGGGTGGGTATAGCAGAGACCACGTCCTGTCCCACTGTCAGTGGATTCATCAGACAGTGTGGAAACTCTTTGTTAATGGGAAACTCTTTGTTAATGCACCTTTAAGAAACACATTTTGCTTTTAGGGAAATGTCCCTAAACGTTTTAGCACCTCCAGTATAAGTGGACTCTGCAGATCACAGTTGTGTGTTTGTGTTTGTCTCCAGTGGGGTCCAGCTCTGCATGTGTGCTACAAGAGAGCCGTGGCCAAAGCCAACGCCCTGGTCTACGAAGCCAGTGAGTGCCTTCACAACTAAAGTACAGAAGAGAGGGTTCACACACCCAACTGTTTCCGGTTGCCTGCTTCAGTGTGCAGGCTGGGGTGTGCCAACCCTCTTTTTTTGTGCTAATTTTAAAGGAAATGGAGGAAGTGTTGCAGAGGTAACGGTAGTACGTGGCTGTTCCACATGCTGTGTGCACTCTTCTGGTTAGAAAAGATAAGACTGTCTGCTCCGATACAACCAGGTACTGTCAGTTCAGGCTCTGCTATAGGAAATCTGGTGGCTTCAGAAATTCAGCACAGCTCTGAGCACTCTGGTAAAGCTTGCTTGAGCTGCTTTTACAGGTTTTTATTATGTCTTTCAACAAAGGGACAATCCTGTAGAGGCTGTAGAAATGTGCCCGCTTCCTTTTTCCTGGTTATCGGTTCAGCCAATTTTAAACAATGATATCTAGCATGTATAATTTTAGAATGGATGAACTTACTTTTTGCATCCCCACTGTACATTTGAGACCATGTCCTGCTTTAAGTCATCCCTGCTCTCACTGTCCATGCCCCTTTGCCCTATTAGTCCCAGGATTTCATCTGTTCTAGTTTTGGTATTAGATCTTTTTGTTGTAATTCTTATATAGAGTGGAGAATACTAGGAGAATGAAAAAGGCCTTGAACCATATTCTTGTCTTTCAACTGTGGTTCAGTGGGTAGAGCAGTCGTCTCCCAACCAGAGGGTCGGAGGTTTGAATCTCGGTGCCTGCAGTCCACATGTTGAAGTGTCCTTGGGCAAGACACTGAACCCCCAAGTTGCCCCCAATGGTTAGAGCCATCGGTTCTGTACCGGAAACAAATTCCTTGTGTGTAACATGCAGTACTTGGCCAAATAAATGTGATTATCCTTCTTTTCTGTAATTTCAGAAATCACCTTTTTCAGTTAGATTAAATTCTGTCAATTTTTCAGATGCCATACATTTCTCTACAGAGGTCACTGATTTGCCAACCATTTATTCCATAGAAAGGATATTTTCTTTATACAGACTGGGGGGGATAAAACATACTAATTATACATAATAAATGAAAGTGTAAGCACACTGATTGGTGTATGCAGGTCTGATCAGCCGGTACCCTGAGGAGGACCTGGAGGCATTTCCCCTGCCGGAGTCGGTGCCAATCTTCTGTCTGCCGATGGGCGTCACTGTGGAGAGCTGGCCTCTGAACACAAAGTACCAGCTGCCTGTCTTCTCCACCTTCGTCTTCACCTCCGCCTCTGGGGACAAGGTGGGAGAGGCAAACACACACACTTCGCCCCGCACGGAGAGTCTGACATTCACTAATACCCTCAGTCCAGAACCTGAAAACATTTTGCAGTGATATGAAACAGAGAAAAGCAGCAGTGGCCCCATCAAACTTAACTTTGACAAGAAAACAACAACGAATTTCTGAGTGAAAAGATACAAAAATACTAAAAGTTTAAGCAAATCAACAAAGTAGTTAACAGATTTGAGGCAGCCAGGTTTCTGCAGATTTCTCCTTTTCTAGAAACAACATAAAAGGTCTCCACATCTTCCTGAGCGCTTTTTGCTTAATCGTGAATGTAAGTTTTTTTTTAAGAGCACCAGTGCAATAAACCATCAAGCCAGATCTGTGGGCTTGGTCTGTTAAGTGATTTCCAATCTTTTGTCAATCCTCAGCTGTAATCTTATTTGTCTTCACACCACACAAGGCTTTTAAATCTGTCTACCATTTGTATAAAAGTCAGAAATCCTTCCTCTCGGGGAGTGACTCTTCACTGTTGTCTTTTTTTTATGAGGTGAACCTATGGATTAGGTCACCTTTAACATCACCTTTAAGAGGTGATAGGGAGTTTTGTGTCTTTGTTATAAAGCTGCTAAGCTGCAGCTATTTATAAATATTTATCTTCAGAGGACAGAAGGATGACATTATCAAACAGATTCTACATATGCATTTGTCATCCCAGATTAAAAAAAACCCACATCTCTTTGTGAATCCTTACAGAGAAACTGGAACCAGATCGTGCTTAATAATTTTGCTTGATAAATTAGACCTATAAGAGTTGCATTTCCCTGGTTATAAAATCCCCTGCTGCCCCTGCAGGTGTACGGAGCAGCCATCCAGTTCTACGAGTCTTTCCCCAGGGAGCTGCTGTCGGAGCGGCAGAGCGTGAGGCTCGGTCTGCTCAGCGTGGTCGACCGGCGGCCAATCACCAACCGCAGCCTGCAGGTGAAGAAGAGCATCTGCGTCCTCTCCCACTGGCCCTTCTTCACCGTCTTCCAGAAGTTTCTTACCTTCGTCTACAGATACTCCATCTCTGGACCCCACGTCCTGCCGCTCGAGAAGTCAGTGCATGGTTTGGATTCAGATTTTTCTTTCTAGACTAAATTAAATCTTTTGTGCTCTGCTGCTGCTTCAAGGCAGTTGTACTGATGACATATCAGGCAAAGCAAAGCCTTAACTTTTTATAATGAGACATTTAGACTGAATTCTTGAAGTGTGCATGAACACTTTAATTATAGTAAAAGCAGAATCTTGGTTTTAGTGGAGACTTTTTGAGTCTGTGGGTGATGTCAAATGATATTTACAGTTTTTCCCACCCTGATAAATAATAAATGGAACAAATCTCTGGATGCACTTTTTTAGAGATGTTATTAAGATCTTAGAGTTTGGGTTATGAAAGGTTTTCAATTATTAATCACATTCCTTTACTTTACCAGATTCTAACCATTTTTAATTATGAACAGAAGTGTGGTTGATGCTTGATTTTACTGATATTAATGGATGTCTTTACCACGTTCTCTCTTTCTGCAGACACATCTCCAGTTTCATGCACAACGTCCCGTTTCCTTCCCCCCAGCGCCCTCGTATCCTTGTTCAGGTACAAACCCAGACTCAGACCTGTAACATGTGATGCCTGGTCCTCAGCAAGTCAAACTGGAAATAATGTCCGAGTATTCAGAGCATATCATAAACCATAGACAGATTATATATTTTTCAACAAGTCCCATGTGCAGAGCTCACAAATATATTGTATTATTTTTTTGCAGGAGAAGTTCAAAAGGTGAATGTGTAGAAAACATTTGTAGTGTACAAAAATTAGAACATCTGAATAGAATAAAGCTAAAGAAGGGGTCAGAGACAAAGAAAGAACCGTTTCTGCTTTCTGCTGTAAAGGCAGAGCTGAGTTGCACTGTAACACTAAAGGAAATATTTCATATAACAAAAAACTCTATGTACATATTCACAAACTTATACAATTTATAATTTTTGTAAAACTTTTCGAAATCACAGAGTTGAATCAACAACCACAGATTTAGAAATTATTTTTGAGCAATATTTTACAAACTCAGAATCTCACTGGCCTTTATTTGAACTTAAAAACTACAAAAAAGAGGAGTGATTGTCTTTTCACCAAAGTAGTTGTTTTGTCTGTATTCAGATGATGAACATCAGTGCAGCTGAACATAAAAGTAGAGAATATATTTGGCATAATGAATGAGACAATTATAGAAATAAGTTTATAAGGAGGCAGTGCAACATTTTCACACTCCTGCTTTGACTTAAATCTTTTACTTCCTCCTTCAACAGGATGTATAGCCAGTGATCTGGTTGCAGACTGAAGTGGGTAACAATCAGATTTGATCTATTTATCAATCATTTCCAATCAGTGGCCAAATAATTCTGTCACGGATGATCTATTGGGCTCAGATGTGATTTTGCTCAGCTGAAATCTGAAGCACATGGATAATAGTTCACAGAATGGGGAACAGCTGACTTGGGAAATCTGTGTCAAGCTGGAGATTTCTTTGTGATTATCTAAGTAGTAAAGTGTCTTAATACTCTCTCTAATTGATTTTGCCTGCTTGATCCACAAATCTTGAATTTTTAAGTTGTCAGGGAAGCTGTAACATTGTCCTCACCGACCCCGACTTAACGCCTGAGTCACTTAGAGAAAACGAGAAGGGCAGTCAAGTTATAAGCAAATTTACACTTTCACTCAGGAATCAAAGCCACTGGTTTAAAATAAAAATTCATATTAGAACACAGATGTCATCAGATTTTGCTCAGCTCAGTTGTTACCAGACAATTGAGGTTTTGTTCACTTCCTAATGAGTGATTTCAGATAAAATTTGGGTTGTCTAAAACCTGTCTGACAGCCAGAGGGGCTCTCCCTGTGCGACATCTCTCATCACAGTTAGTCAATGTGTAGTCATTTTTCAGGAATTAACTCATAAATGACTCGACTAACCTGTGAACACAAGTCCTTTTCCCACTTTTCAAACTCCCTAGGGGCTAAAAAGTGATCCCATCCCTTTGTGTTTGTGTGTGTATGTGTTTTGGTTGTGTATAGTGTTTAACATTTGTGTCTTGCAGCTCTCCCCATATGACAACCTGCTGCTCTGCCAGCCAGTCTCCTCTCCGCTCCCACTCAGGTCAGTTTACTGCTGCAGTACTGCAGTACTATCATTAGTACATACAGTACATTAGGAGCAATAATCTTTCAAATCTGGAAGTGGATCCCCCCCAAACAAACAACTAAAAGCACGTTCAGTACCTAGTTTATTTTTAAATTTAGAAAAGCAACACACAGTTGTAGTATCAGTGGTACCATAGTATTAATGATACTAGTCACACTGCTTATTGTTTGTAAATTTCTTACTCAAGATTATTCATAAAAATTGTAGTTAATTGTACTTAGGTTTTTTGTTGTAATAAATATTGTAATGACCCCCGGCGTGGAGGAGAGAGACTACCTATACTTGAGCAGCTAAACTAGCTAGCAGGGCGCTAGCACCTATGCTGTTCGATTAGTGCCTACTCCAGGTCCCATACACCGCACGACTCTGGGTAGCACTTGGGCGTGTCCTTCACAATGACCACCATGCCACTCTGTCTTTCTGGTCATTTATTTAGAACACAGAACCGGACTCACACATCACATTCCCAACAGGGTCAGTTTTACACATACAGCTTAGACTTACGGTTCAGAAACACAGCACCCAACCAGCTAGCAAAACATTGTTAACACATATGAGTACAAGTCATCAAGATAAACACAACAGTGTAACACACATTAGAACACATTAAAACACTTGTACAACTGTTCCCCGAACTAGTCGCTGAACTCCCATGATGCCCCCCATGCATCATGTCGCTGCCACCAGACCCCTCCCCAATAGCCGACGTAGGTCGTCACAATATTTTAGTTTTTTTACAGTGTAATCACATTAGGATTCAAATATAACTTTGATTTACAATGGAGAAATTTAAGATATTGGGGAATAATTGGGGACATGGATAAACCAAGGTATACACATGTAATTTCACAGTGCAATGTATTAATGTATATCTGATGCAGTAAACTTTCTGGAAACTCAAATACCCACACAGTACAGTACAAACACATTGTGAAATACATGACAAATCACAGTATTGTATCGCACGCTGCAAAAAGCTGTATACAGCATGTAAGCTGTAACCTGTGTGTGTTTGCGTGACAGTGGGGCGAGCTTCCTGAAGCTGCTGCAGAACCTTGGCCCAGAAAACGCCTGCACATTGCTGGTCGCCATCCTCACCGAGCACAAACTGCTGCTGCACTCGCTGCGGCCTGACGTGCTCACCTCTGTCAGCGAGGCCCTCGTCTCTGTAAGACTGCACACACCCATGTCCACTGTAGGCAGAGTACATTGACACTGAGTCCAGTTTTTTGAGTTAATAAATTACACTTACAGTCAAAATTTGTTATTATGTGTTACATAGACATTTGGTCCTGGTTCCATTTTTAGGCACAGTTTTCTCTTTTCCAGAGGTAATACAGTAATTGTGTCATCTAGCCCCAAAATTCAGGGTGGAAAGTGATTATGTACATTAACTCAAGTACTGTGTTTAAGTAAAGGTTTGAGGTACTTTGAGTACTTTTAATTTCTGCTACTTTATACTGCAATACAGTGCCTTGCGAAAGTATTCGGCCCCCTTGAACTTTGCGACCTTTTGCCACATTTCAGGCTTCAAACATAAAGATATAAAACTGTAATTTTTTGTGAAGAATCAACAACAAGTGGGACACAATCATGAAGTGGAACGAAATTTATTGGATATTTCAAACTTTTTTAACAAATAAAAAAACTGAAAAATTGGGCGTGCAAAATTATTCAGCCCCTTTACTTTCAGTGCAGCAAACTCTCTCCAGAAGTTCAGTGAGGATCTCTGAATGATCCAATGTTGACCTAAATGACAAAGGATGATAAATAGAATCCACCTGTGTGTAATCAAGTCTCCATATAAATGCACCTGCACTGTGATAGTCTCAGAGGT